TATGAATGTAGTTACATTAATTAACTTTAGTTATTTCCCTGGTGTCTTTTCAAATCTTATTTTTAGCTTTTTATTTTCCTTTGCTGTATATATTTTAAGGAACATATAGTTTAATTGGATTATTAAGATTGAATCTGAATTTTGTCATTTAACTGGAGCATTTGGATCATTTATCTATAATTATTTTGATATTGGGGTTTAATTTAGAAGATCTTATTTTGTATTTTTGTGTTTTTTCTTTTTCTTGACTTCATTTGGATTACTTTTTCTTCTTCCAGTTTTCCCCATTTACTCATTTGAACCTAAAAAACCTTGTTTTTTTTATTATTTTAATCAACTTGTGGGAGGGTGTATAATTTATGTAGAATAAACTGCATCCCTTTAAAGCCCAAGCGTGAGTACTAACATATATGCAAAAATTCTAGTTACTCTTGACATTCTAACATACTCACTAAAGCTTAAGTTCTCAGCATCTTTCTTTTTGATTTCTCCTTCAGTGATAAAAGGAAACAATCATTTCCTAAACTATTTTATGTTTTTGAAAGAAGAGCTTTTAAAAACCATGTGATAATACTGCTTTTTAAAAATATTTAGTGTCTCCCCACTTTTAACATTTTTATATCTTCTTTTTCCTCAGAACTTCTGTCTGGGATTATTTTCCTTTTACCTGAAATATGTGTTTTAGTGGCTTGTTCTCTGTCCTTGCTCTTGCCGTGTCTTGCTTTCTATCATGTAGTCTGAAAGTATTTTATCCTCTTGAAAGTTAGTCTCTAACCACCTCACCACCACCTGCCCCCTGGCTGCTTAAAAAGAAACAAAACTTTATTGAAATATGCAATCAATTACATATATCTAAGATCAGTGAGTTTTGAGAAGTTTATGTACAGTTGTGACAACCTGTCCTAGTTGAGATACAGAATTATTTTTATCTCCCCAGAAAGTCTCCTTGAGCTCCTTTGTAGTCTCCTCATAGCCTTATTTCCTACCCAGGTAACTACTGTTCTGCTGTGTCACCGGTTAGTTTTTGCTCATTTTAGAGCTTTTTATAAATGGAATCCCCTAGTACTTACTATTTTGTGTAAGGCTTCTTTTACTCAGTTTGTTTTTGAGATTTACCCTTATTATAGCATAGTATCAATGGTTCTTTCCTTATTGCTCAGTAGTATTTCATTGGGTAAATACAGTATAATTTCATTAGTCAGTGATTGATGAGTGTTGGATTGTTTATAGTTTGGGTCTATTTTGAATAAAGTTGATACTAACATTCGTGTACAAAAATTTTTGTGGATATATACCTTCATTCCTCTTGGGATAAAACCTATGAGAGAAATTGCTGGTTGGTATGTGTAATAAATGTGTGTTTTCTCTTCATAAGAAACTATTTTTTGGTGGCTTTTCACATAATATTTTGGCTTTAATGCTTTGCAGTTTCCCAGAAATGTTGACTAAGTGTGGATTTTCTTTTTTAAAATCTTGTTTGGAAAAAAATCCTGTTTGAGATTCATTGTGTTTGGATTATATCAGTTGTTTTCTCATAGAATTTGGAAAAAACTCTTCATTCTCTTCTTTAGATACTACCTCTTGCTCTGATACTCTTTCTTCTCTTTTTCTACAATTCTAATCTAATGGAAGACCTTTTTATTCTCTTCCATGGGTCTTTACTTCTTTTTCATGTTTTCCTTCTCTTGGTTTCTTTATGCTGCATTTAGGTAATTTCATCAGAACTGTCTGCCAACTTGCTAATTTCCTAATTATTTTTTTGGCTTGTCTAATCTGTTATAAGAAATATCCACTAACCATTTCATTTGTTTTTGATTTTTTAGAAGGTTTTAAAAAATGTTTTATCAGTCTTTAATTTTTTGTTTCTTATATTTTATTTCCTTAAACACAGTAAGTATAATCCTTTCTTAGTCTTTGTAATTTTAGTGTTCAAAGTTCTTATAGGTCTTTTTTATTTCTCTTTCTCAATTAGTATATGTAGTTTTTTTAAAAAAAATAGAGTAACTACGAGCTATTTATTTTCTTAATGATTTTGTTTGTGGAAATTATGTGGAAACTCTAGTGTTATGTTGTTGCTTTTGACAGGCACAGTTCTAGATTAAATTCTTCCTTGAGGGTTTTTTGGACCACCCAGATAATGTGAATTGAGGCTGTAAATTTGTGTGATGTGATGGCAGGCTTTTGGTATCAGTTTGTGAGTAGTGTTGTTTTTCACCATCTTGGTGTTAAGGCTTAAAACATTGGGTTTTTCTTGCTACTGTCTGTTTGGGGCTGAGGGTATTTCTAAGACCTATATTTTGAAGTATTAGATCTCTGGGTTTGTCTTTGTGGAAGAATGATTTTCTTTTGGACTCTCCACCTTTCTAGTTCTGGGTTTATCTTCTGATCTTCATTCTTGTTGAGATGGGAAAAGCTATATCCACAGTTAACTGGTTTAGAAATTTTTCAGAGTGAAAGCTAGCTTCCATCTTTACCTCGCTCCTTATGTTTTGTCCTTAATCCTTGATTTCTTATCCACTTACTGACATACTTAAAACCTCATGCAACAATTATAAACGTTTTTGTGGGGTGGATACTGACCATCATATTTCCTACAAGTGTTTTTTTATGTAAATTTACCACCCCTTCTTTATGCCCGCTTGGATTATATATAGTACAGGGGCTGACATAAATCATATTTGAATCCTTAGTTTTTGTATAGTGGGCATTCAAAGAATTGATCACAAATGAAAAGATCTGGTTTTGACTACATTAATGTATTTAAAGAAGTTAACTCAAATTAAAAGATAAATTGTAAATATAGAAAAATGTTTGCAAAAATGAGTTAGCTAAATGTGTGTAAATATAATGTGAAAATTTACATAGCAAAACGAAAGATACTGTATTATAGAAACAATACAGTAGTTATGAAGAATTGCTGCTGTTAGTAGATGCATGGAAAATTATTTCTTTTCTAATAGTTAAAGAAATATAAATTAAAATAGCAATAAAATAATATTTTTTATCAGTTTAGAAAGCTTAAAAAAATCTATAGTACCTGATATTGTCAAGGTGTAGAGAGCAGTTGAAATTAGATACTCTTATATATAGTTGCTGGGAATATGTTAATACAAATAAATTTTGAATGTATCTGGAAGTTTACAGTAAGCATTAAAATTGAATATAATGTGTGACCGTGTACTTCCAAGGCTTAGGAAATCATCTTAAATCAAAAACATTTTGCAAAATGATTTTCATTTGTGGAGTCCTTTATAATAGCAATATTTTTGAAAATGGTTTAACTATACACCTTAACTATGTTTGTTTAAATAATTCTTTGTTCTATTAAAAGATTACGTGCTCAGCAGTAAGGCAGTGATTAAATTATTTATGGTATATTTCCTTGATGGAATCTTGCGTAGATATCAAAATGTTTCTGAAAGTACATCCTTTTTTTTTTTTTTTTAGTACCAGGGATTGAACTCAGGGGCACCTGACCACTGAGCCACATCCCCAGATCTGTTTTGTATTTTATGTAGAGACAGGGTCTCAGTGTGTTCCTCAGTGCCTCACTTTTTGCTGAGGTTGGCTTTGAACTTGCAATCCTCCTGTTTCAGCCTCCCGAGCTGCTAGGATTTCAGGTGTGTGCCACCATGCTCAGTGAGCATCCTTTCTAAAATGTAGCTTCCAAGGGTTGGGGTTGTGGCTCAGTGGTGGAGCGTTCGCCTAACATGTGTGAGGCCCTGTTCCATCCTCAACATCACATAAAATGAATGAATGAATGAAAAATAAAGATATTGTGTCTAACTACAACTAAAAAATAAATATTTTTTTTAAAATGTAGCTTCCAGGACCCTTTTCCTTCCTGCTTTTCTTCTTTGCAGAATTGACTCTTCCTCTTCCATCTTTTTTTCTGGCTCATCTTTATCTCCCCAGCCTCCAAGATTAAACTACTCCAAGGCTCAGTTCTTTATTCTCTTCTCTGTTTCTCTTCATTGAGGATTGCTGGTTAAATTACTTGTAATAATATCTGTATGCTAAGGACTCTGACATTTATTTCTTCTGCATAGAATTTTTGTCTGAATTTTAGACTGATATTCAGCTGCCTACTTTACATCATCTGTTACGTGGATAGGTCATACTTTGCATGTCCGGAAGTTAATTCCTGATTCATGCTTTTCCATTTGTTCTTGAAAATATTCTTGCATAATCTGTTACCTCTCTCTGTGCCTGCTACCCCATATCTGTTCTATCAGTATAGTAATTGGTTCTGCAATATGTTGAGAATTCATCTTCTCTTAGCCAAATTCCCTGGATTACTACAACAGATTCTTTTTGGACTCTTGCTTCTACTTTCTCTTCCTCAGACAATTCTTAGAGGAGCATCGGAGCAATGGTTCTCTCTCCTTTTTTTTTTTCTTTTGGTTCTGGGGATTGAACTTAGGGGTGCTTAACCACTGAGCCACATCCCAAGCCCCCCCCCCCCCTTTTTAAATTATTTTTTTTATTTTGAGACAGGGTATCACTAAGTTGCTCAGGGCCTTGCTAAGTTGCTGAGACTGGCTTTGAACTTGGGATCTTCCTGCCTCAACCTCCTGAACTGCTTGGATTACATGACCAGAGCAGTGGTTTTCAGTGGCCTCTCAGGGGACATTTAACAATGTTAGGAGACATTCTTGGTTTTTAAATTTGGTAATCAGAGGGAATACTACTGGAATCTAGTTGTAGATATAAAGGATGCTGCTAAACACCCTGTAGTGTATAAGACCCTTGTCCCCTGAAATATAAAACCAAACAAACAAACAAAAAAGAGTGATTCGGTCCAAAATATCTACTGATGTGCCTAAGAAACCCTGCGCCAGGGTATTATTTTTAAGATACAAGTCATGTCATGGCACTCATCCCTCCCATTTAGAGTAAAACCAAAATTATTAACCTGGCTTGCTTTGGCCTCTTGGAATTCACCTTTCTGTTATGTTCTGTTCCTTCCATACCAATTTTCCTGTCTTTGAATACCCCAGGCATTCACCCATTCTGGGGCCTGTGCTCTGGCAGGAATACGCACTGTGTGTGGCACCCTCAACTTCGTAAGTCTTTTGCTTATATCTCATCTTCTCAATAAGCCCTAGCCAGTGACATTTAGAATTGCTACCTACCTCTCCTACCTGTGGCACTTCTGATCCTCATTATATTTTTTCCCTATTCCCCTACTCCCTTCTAGTGTTCTAGAAAAGATACTCATGTCATGTTTATTACTGGTCATGAGTCCTTTCCTTTCCATTCCTATAAGAATAAAAGTTGTCAAGAGAAGAATTTGTTTTTCTCTTTTAAACTGATGTGTCTTAAATGTCTGAAACAATGCTTGGCACAAAACAAATTCTCCATAAATATTGCACCAAACAGATACTTTGTAACATTTGTTGAACTAACAATGGTTTAGTTGTGTTTCCCCAGTAGGACTTTGGATAACTTTAATGTCTTTATGCTTTTCTAAAATACCCATATTTATGTGGAAAGAGTAAAATCTGTTAAAAATTTTGTTGTGGTTAAATATTTTGTCTTTTGTTAGTGAAATTAAAACATTTTGTTTTATCCATCTTTGAAATTTTCAAATGTTAAGTTTCTGAGGCAGCATATAAAATGAATATGATCTTACTTTTGTTAATGTATTTTAATATTGACCGATGACAGATTAAACATTTTTTTTTTTTATTTTTAAAGGACTATGATTTAATCTCCAAAGAACCAAAGCCTTTTGTATTTGAGGGAAAATTACGTGGCCCAATTGTTGTTCCCACGGCTGGAGAGGATGCATCTGGGAGTTCAGCTAATTTAAAAAAGGGACCTGTAATGAAGGAAAAAGTATCTCCTAAAGGAGAGGAAGATAAGCAACCTGCCTTTATGGATGTAGCAAAAGAAGATATTAAAGCTGAAGACAGAACATTACAACAGCAGCTAGGTGATCAAAATAGAACTATTTTACCAACCCATGGCTTAAACAATGATATTGTGAAAGCATTGGACCGAATCACATTGCAGAATATTCCTTCTCAAACAGCCCCAGGTTTGACAGCAGAAGTTAAGAAGGACTGTAGTCTCCCTCTTGCTGTTCTCACATGCACTAAAGCATGTCCACACATGGCTACCTGTGGAAATGTTCTTTTCGAGGGTCGGACAGTTCAGCTAGGGAAGCTCTGCTGTACTGGGGTTGAAACTGAAGATGATGAAGATACCGAGTCTAATTCATCGGTGGAACAAGCATCAGTTGAAGTACCTGATGGACCTACACTCCATGACCCAGACCTTTATATTGAGGTTGTGAAAAACACAAAGTCTGTCCCAGAATATTCAGAGGTGGCTTATCCTGATTACTTTGGTCACATTCCACCTCCATTCAAAGAGCCTATTTTAGAAAGGCCTTATGGTGTACAAAGGTGAGTTGTAGATCTCTTACTCCTCCTAAGTAAAACCATTTTAAAAATATGAGATATAATAATTATATTTAGGAAACAAATTAGTATGAATAAAAGTTACCATAATTTTTATTCTACTTTGGACATTTAGCATTGTTTTGAAATTATCCATCTTTGAATAAATGTTACCTTAGCAATATTTATTTAGTAGTTGATCATTTGAACTTGACTTAGATATTAATTAGTAATAGGCTGTAAATACATGTACTAATATGTAACAACAAATCCCATCATTATGTACAACTATAATGCAACAATAAAAGAATGTGGAAAAAATAGGCTATAAATAAAGCAATATCAACAGTATTATTTTGTAGTAAAATTTGAAATGTTAATTTTTTATATATAATGTAAAAATTTGAGATTAATCAAAGCAGTTAGTAAAGTTATTAAATATTGCCAAGTAATATTAGATATTATAAAAACTATTACTAGATATTACAAATATAGAATAACTTTTTTTGGTGTGTCCAGACTATATTTAGTAATCATGGCTAATGCTTTATGATGATGGCTTCTCAGTATCTAAAATAATTTGGATGCTCTTATTATGAGTATAGTTTTTAATGGAAAGAGAAGACCTTACTGTGGGTATTTGATTTCCTTAGATTAAAAGCTTCTTTAAGGCAACAACTACATCTTATTTATTTTTATCTGTAACACCTAGTATAATTCATTATTTTTACTTGGCAACTTAGTGTATTTAGTGCAACTATTTGGCTACTTGGTCCACAGGTATGGAATACCACATCAATCATACAGCATCAAAACAGGAACCTTTCTTCACTGGAAAAGGTACTTCAGAGTGGGCCAGGCTGTGGTGTCTTCTGAATCACAGCCAGCACCATCTAGAGGCAGCTGACCTTGTAGTGTGCTGTAAAAAGCATAGGTGAAGCTCTCAGTCCAAGGAAATACTCTGCAAGGTTGAATCAGTCTTTTAGGATGCACTTAGCTAGACACTTTTGCACAGTTCTATATCCCCAATAGAAAGAATATGTAGGTCTGGGAACCAGGAGGGGAGAGCTGGGCCCTATTTTACTACAGCTCCTAGTGTCCCACTGGGAGAATTTGTGCTTTCTGTCCCTGCACCTCTGGGCTCTGCAGGATTAGAAGTCCAGTCCCCATGGTAGGTGCAGTCTTAATTGCAAGAGACACAGCAAGGGTACAATGTAACAATAAGCTGTGGTTACTGAATGGAGGTTCTAGCTTCCTTCTGGCTAGGACCAGGAGGTGGGAAAAGATTTTGCCTTCTTTACAGAAGTTATTAACTCAGAATGACTCAAGGAAGTAGGGTTGCTTTTACACAATGGCAATAAGGTGAATATGTGTGGAACTCAGGCCATCCACTTGCTACTCCCTTGTCTGGTTTAACTGAGAATGGACATGTCACTGGCCTAAGGGTGAAAGGATTTATTCATGCTGGGAATTATTATGTCTTATCTATAGCCCTTTCTTCTCTTAATATTTATGATTATTTCTCTCAATTTGTCCTGAAACATTGACCTTGGAATTGCTCTGCAAGTTGAATCAACAGATTAGAGTCTAACATTTTTTTTTTTTTTTGGTATATTAGACCACCTATAGGACTTTTTTATTGCCTGTGTACAGTGTGATATACCGCTGGGTTTGTCAAATGTTCAAACCCAAACTTTTAAGATGTATTTTTGATACTGGGAGGCAAACAACATGATAAAAGATCAAGAGATCAATGAGAGTTGGCATGTGTGTTTTACAGATAGGTATGTTGGTATATGTAAGTTACAGAGCAAAGGAGATTAGGCTCAAACAAGAGCACAGAAACTTAATCATTTTAAACTCTGGTATCTGTGTTTGCTTTCAGAAAATTTGCAGTGAGAAAAATGGGGTTGGGCTCCAATACACCTTTGAGAGTTGGGTGGCCATGGTGCCCTACAAATTTCAAAGATTTCTTTCTATATAGATAAAATTTCCCACTAATTTTCACAACTTTGTTGGAAATATTTTCTGCCTTCTGATTTGTTGCTGCGGAAATGAATCATAACTTCTAAAGCAATCTAAAACCTTTTGTCTTCTAGTCTGTCAGCATCATGCATTTTGTGTTATGGTGACTATTACCAGGTTTGACTGATCTGTATATACTATGGAGCAGAGAACATCTTTTATCATATTTGTCATAATTCCATTGTTACATATTTGTCAATTTTTTTGGCTATCAGATACTTGATAAGAGGCAGGAATATAATCATATTTCAATATGGAGTTGCAGTCCTGAGAGTGATCACATTGATGGGTATAAAGTTTCATATTTTAATGAAAACAATATGATTCTGTTTATATTATTTAGATGTATAGGATTTATATTAGATGTATTATGTGTTTACATTAGACATGTATCATTTATATGCTTCTGTTTATATTATTTAGATGTGTAGGATTCTCTCCAATAAATGTTAGTTACTTTAGCTATAACTACTACAAAAAATAAAATGTTTTCACTTAAAAAATGTTTATAAATTATAGACAAGAGTACTTTGGTATTTGAAACTTATTGCCTCTTCTCTCCTGTGCAAATGTCCCAAGTGTTCATGTGGAAATTGTGAAGAATGTAGTCTCATTGCTCAAAGTTGTATATCTTCTCTTGCCCTTTCAATTTTTTACCCAATATTGCTGAGAAATAAGTAGAAAACTTTCCAGAATTATTTGTTCCTTCAAGTTAAATTAGTTTGAGACTGAGAACAAGTGCATATAGCAGAAATACTTGGATTAGATTCAATGAATGCAGTAAGACTGTTTGGCGTGGTGAGGGACACCTTGTCAGGGCAGAATGCTCTCTGAAAAGCAAGTTCTAAATGTAGCTCACCCTTTGACTCTCTGTGCTGCGTGCATGTGTGCGCATGCACGTGGGTGTCTTAGCAAGTAGTTTTATTTCTCTAGAGACCAGTTTTCTTGACTGAAGAAAAAGAAAGTAGAGAGTTAGTATTTTTCAAATTTGAGTCATTAACTATTAATAACTGATAGAAAATAGCAGTATTCACATGTGGTACAACTAAGTTATTATAATCTTTTATGTCCTCTTTCTCTTTGTAGGATTATGATTTCTTCTTCTTCTTCTTTTTTTTTTCGGTAGTACCAGCTATTGAACCCAGGACCTCAGTGCATGTTAGGCAAGCATTCTACTACTACTTGAGTTATGATTTTTTAAATGTATTTCTTGTTGGCCAAAATCAAAAAAGTTTGATAGTCATCCACTTAGATTAGAATTGGAAACTATAGCCCATGTGCCAAATCTGGTCTGCTACCCATTTTGTTCTCTCACAAGCTAAAAATTTTTTTTTTTTTCACCTTTAAATCATTAAAACAGTTCAGAGAAAAATTGGTAATTTATGACATATGAAAATTATACAAAATTTATATAAACAAAGGGTTTTTTTTTTGGAATACAGCTACGTCTATTATGCTTTTGGTTGCTATTTTTGAGCTACAATAGTAGAATTGAATGGTTGTGAAAGAGACCAGCAAAGCCTAAAATGTTTACTATCTGGCCCTTTACAGGAAAGGTTTGCTGAACCTAGTAGCTAGATGGTCTGAGACTGTGGTTTTGTATACAATAAAAAACCTAATATGGGCCAGGTAACTAGTATTACAAAGCACTCTGAAATGCTTGTCTTTTGAAATACATTGACGAAGTCACTTCCAGTTTGTTTAACTTACTTGCCCAGTCTTCTGCAACTTATTTTTTGAGCAAATGGTGAGCATTTTGTGACTTTTTTTGCCATTCCTTGGTCCTTGTTTGAGTGAGGTAGCATTGTGAATGAGCAGTATTGAAATTAATGAAGATTTACTGTTTTATCATTTTTCAGAAAAGAGGCATCAGACTGCTTTAAGTTATTCAATGAAAATAGCTTTAATGTTTTAAATTTCTATTGTGTGGTTATCTTCCTAGTATGCATCACTAATATTTTTTAAAGAAGGTTTAGTATAAAATGAATAAAACTTCTAAATCTGCCTCATTTGAAAGGAAAATGTCTGTTGTAAGACATTTTCTTATCTCTGTAGATAATGCATTAAAATTTGTTTATTGTAAACATATACTAATGATTATTTAAATCCTAGTTTTGGTTTAAGTTGCATTTAAAAATTGTAATGAAATTCATCTCATATTTTAGTGTATGCTTAGCATTATTGGTGCTTTTTTTCCTGTTTTTGTGTTTCATAAAACCAGGACATAAGAAAATAAAAGAAGAAAGGTCACTTTTTGTCCTGTGCCCCAAAGGTGGCCAGTATTTTGATTTCTTTCCATTATTTTTCATCTATATAGAAAACTCTAGCTACATTTTGTAATAGATATTTTGTTATGTTATAATTTTATATGGTATATGTTGCTTGTTTTAAAAAGCATTTAAGGTATTTTCTGAAAATATAACCAACAAAATAAAACAAAATGACAAATAAGGAAAAGAAAGTATAGCAGCTCTTAACCACAAAAATATTTTCAACTTCAACTCAAAATAAGTTAAAATATTCTGTATCAAATTTGGCTAAAATCTAGAAGTTTAACAGCACATTTTATTGCTGAGGCTTTGGAAAAATAGGTTCTTTCATACGTTGAGGGTGAGACTGTCAATGATAATAACTCCTGTGGAGGGCATTCTGACAGGGTCTGTCACAATTAGCACTATAGTTTTCTTTGACACATTAATCCTATATCTGGGAATTTATGAGATATACTCAAGTGCTCATCAATCAAAGTTAAATAAATTATGATATATCTGTTTGGTGAATTCTGTTCAATGGTTGGACGACAAAAATCACTCTGTGCATTGATGGAATGAGCTATAAGATATATTATTAAATGAAATAAGCAAGGAGTTTATTTTTATGACATTAAAAACAAAGAGGGAAAGGCACTCTGAATTAGTAAAAGGCACTCTCTATATAAAGTAAAATCTAGAAGGAAAGTGATAAAAGTATTTACCTGATTGGGTGAGTGGAGGAAATGGATTGTGTCGAAAAAGGAGCCTTTTTTTATGCTTTTATGTCATATTTAAAATTTTTAGAATATCAGTATATTACACATATATACCACAATTTTTCATATCTCTGTATATAAAATATGTTGACACCCAATTTGTGATATATGTGTAATAAGAATTGTAATGCATTCTGCTGTCATTTTTTTAAATCAATAAAAAAAATCAGTATATTACCTACTCAGAAAGTTTAAATTAAAAAGTAGGTGAAGAATTGTGGGAAAATAATATAAGGAAAACAAAATTCTATATTTGTTCCTGTTAAGTATAAAATAGCTTTGGGAGAAACATGAGTACTTCTGGAATTCAGGAAACTATAGAAGTATTGGTAGGAGCAAAAGCAGCAGATGGGTTTAGTGAATGATTTTTATGGGCCAGGCACAGAATTAAGTAGTAAGCATTTTATATGCTGTGTATATATGAATATAAAGTGTGCCACTTAGTATTGTAACAGTTCTATGAAGGAGGTGCTGTTATTTCTCTATTTTACAAAAGAATAAGTTGAAGTTCAGGATTTTTGAATAATTTATCTGCTTGGCAGAGCCAAGAGTCAAACTCAGGTCTAGATTATGAATCTGTTTTGTTAATCACTGTGTGTGTGTGTGTGTGTGTGTGTGTGTGATGTATCTTGATTGAACACACATGTAGATAAGTCATACTATCTTGTGAAGAAGATTATCTTGGATTTTCTTTATAGAAGGTATGGATAATAATATGGATCCTCAGAGAACCCCGTTATGTATATAATTAACATCATTTCCTATAATTTCTTTACATAAATACAGCAATAAGGTTCATTAATTTTTTTCTTACTGTGTGGCTTTGTGTTTGAAAAACCTAACAAAGTACAGTCTTTTAAGGGTAGCTGCATATGGTGTGATCATTTGAGTATGGACTGAACGGGCTGCACATTTTCCAGACTGCCCTGCATAAGTTATTTTCTTGAACCAAGCCTTTGATAAATGTTGAATGTCACTAATTTTGAGGCAGTATTTAAAATATACATGTTTTATTTTGTCTGGAGAGCCATATATTTTAATAGGCAAATGTGTAAAGGAACGATTAATGTTCTTTTATGAAATCTAGTTACACAAATACATATCTGAATAAAAAATAATTTTCCCTCTTCCATTCAAGTATTCATTTTAGGTCAGGTCTAATATAAATGGCAATTAATGGTTCCCCAAAATACAATGTCAGGTTGAAAAACAGTGGTCTTGTACAACTTGTACATGATTTGGTTTAACGTGGGCTTTTTTTTTTTTTTTTAATTTAAAACTGATTACCAACATTGGAACCTTTAGAAGATTTTAAATAAAAGGCCAAATTCCTGGTATTTCTTGGAAAAAAATTAGGTGCAATGGACATCACCTGTTTCCCACTTGACAACTTTTTTTTTTTTTTTTTTGGTGGTACTGGAGATTGAACCCACTGATTGAATACTGTACCTCTGAGCTACATTCTCAGCCCATTTTATTTTATTTTGAGACACAATCTTGGGATTATAGGTTTGTGCCACCTCACCAGACAGGCCTGTACTTTCTGAACCTGTTTCATGTTGTGGAACATAGCTATAGAACTGAGCTGTTGTAAGCATCCTTTCAGTATCATTTTCCTAAATAAAGCAACCCCAAACTTTTGTAAGTATTTATTTTTGCACATTGGTGGTCTATATCAATCTTTTTAAATTAAATAAATGATGTCTTTAGTTATTCATCCATACTGGAATACTTAAAATTTTACATGTGTGATATATTTGAGTGTATGTAGAACTTTCTCTGTTGAAGGTCTGGAAGGTCTAATATTAACTCTGAATTTGTTTATCACTATGATAGCTTTCTAAATAGTCTGTTTCTTTAGAAAGAGTTAGGCATTTTAAAGTTATGACATTAAAACTAAATTTAAGAATTTATAGCTTAATTTTTGATACTAGATTTTTTAACTTGATAGACTAGTTTGTCATTTATGTTATTTTAATAGAATAAACTTAAAATAAATTATGCTCGTTTAGTAATTAAGAATTGTTGGCATTGTACTTTCTTATTTTTTGGTGTCTTTCTTATATGTATAACTGTTACACATTGTAATATTTTTCTAATAATATGTTTCATTCTTTACAGGTTCTTGGATTGTTTTGAATTTGAGGTTATGCTCTAATCACAGAGCGGTGTCTTTGTGCAGGAGGCTAGTTTCAGGTTTGCCTGAAGTTAAGGAGACTTTAAGTATGCAGTATATTCTTGAGGTTTTATAATAATTTTTTGGAAAACTTTATTATTCTGCTCCCATGAATCTATAAATCACTGTTCTAATTTTCATTACCTATCTTTAGCTGAAATGAACAAACTTGAAATTTAAATCAGTTTATATAGTTTGACTTTCTCCTTAAGAACAAGCTATGCTATGAAAAGTAGCAGTGTGTTAACATTAGCAGGACTTTGGCTGGCCTACCTGAGTTCTAGCATCTGGCTTCAGGATCCAAATATGTTGTTTTGGCTGTAGTTTGGTGCCACCTGGTCAGGTGACTTAAATATTGATGGGGAAGATTGTGAGTTGTGAGTGGCTTAGTCTTCTAGGACAGTGGCAGGGCTTTTAGAAATTTTCCAGTTAGTTAGTGTCTGTTTTGCTATACTGATTCAGAAGGATATGAAGCTCTGAGTATCCTGGGAACGCAAGGACCACTTTTCACTCCCTGACACAGGTGTATTCCTTTCTTCCACCTTCCTTTTCCACCACAGAAATGAGGGGGGGATTCTGTAAAACATACAAACTGACTATTAATTGCATTTTGGCCAAATTCCCAGCTAGGTGGGTTTAAAAAAATCTTACGTAATTTGATTTTTCAAATTAACCACTTCTAACACTGCTGCTATTGTGTATACAAAATCATGTGCCTAATGGTTTAGCAAATCCCTACCTTCCCTCTCTCCCCAACCCTTCTTTTTATTTATTTATTTATGTATGTATGTTGTATGTATGTGTGTGTGTGCACGTAAGATTAAACCAGTGTCACTGTACCACAGAACTATATCCCTAACCCTTTTTATTTATTTTTTTATTGTGAGGGTCTCACTGTTTTGCCCAGGCTGATATTGAACTTGTGATCCTCCTGCCTCAGCCTCTGGAATTGCTGGGATTATAGGTGTGCACCACTGTATCCAGCTAATTCACGCTAATTCTAATAGACATTCTTGGTTTCCTCCCTTCCTTCCCATTTTCTTCTCCCCTCCCTTCATTTCTTTTTCTTCTTTTCCTTCCTTTCCTCCCTCCTCCTCTCTCTCCTTTCCCACTATTGGACTTTATCATTTTACACCTTTTTCATCTAAAACTTATTTTGGAGAAGGTTGTGCATTGGCATATATAATAGTGAATTTTGATCAAACTTCTCTTTTATGATTTCAGGACAAAAATTGCCCAAGATATTGAGAGGCTAATACATCAGACTGATATCATAGATCGAGTGGTATATGACTTAGATAACCCAAAGTAAGTCTGATTTTTAAAAACTTATTTTTGTTTTTATAGTAAAATTTTACAGTTATTTCTAAAAGATAAAAAAAAAATACAGTTAATTTCTACGTATTTATCCTTGCTGTGTTTTCATCCTTTGACAAGGATAAAATAATCATGGTAAATCATGCTTATTTACTTAAATTGAATATATCACAAGCTCTTATTTGTTTGAGTGGATTTTATAGGCCATAAACTAATTTTTTGTTGTTGTTGTTGTTTGTTTTTTATTTTGTTGCACCAGGAATTGAACCCAAGGGCGCTTAACCACTGAGGCACAACTCCAGCCATTTTTTAATATTTCATTTAGAGACAGGCTCTTCCTAACTTGCTTAGGACCTTGCTAAGTTGCTGAGGCTGCTCTGAACTTGGGGTCCTTTGCCTCAGCCTTCCAAACTGCTTGGATTACAGGCATGTGCCGCCCTGCCCAGCCTAATGCTGTTTTTTTTTTTTTTTTTTTTTTTAATAAAATTACCTCCACTTAAAAGAATGGAGATTTCATGTGAAATACTGACTTGTCCTGCAATATTGAACCTTCATTTCCTAAGCACAACAAATTATCATCTCCTTAAGAATGAAGCACATGCTTGCTAATTTTCACCAGTTCCCTCCACTTGCTCCATCTTATTATCTCTTACAGTTTACAGTTTCAGTTATTTAAGTTACCTGACTTAGCTTTGAAGCCATTTATTTGTGATCCTTGGCGTGTTAGTTATTTATTACTTAGGATTCTCACTGATATCACCTTTTTGGATTTAAGAATAAATAAATCAATGAAAATTACAAATGTTGACTGTGAATATTATTCAGTCATTTGTTCAGTTAGCCTTTGGTGGGTTTCTCCTTTCTCTGATTATTCTAAGGGAAATTTCACATTTTACTGATAATATTTGGAGGAGGTAAACACTTTTACAAAGATTTTTGGTAGAGAGGTGAAAGTAAAAGCTATACCCAAAGCTAATGACCAAATTTAAAATAATATTCTTACAACGAGAAAGAAATATCTATTTTATTAAAAATCACTGAGTTATTTCAGTTTTCATAGTTCTGTATTGGAGAAACTAGGCAAACATGATAAAAATAGAAATTCAAGAACCCTAAGTTTGGCATACTGGTATTGCTTTTAACTGAAATGACTTTGGAAAAAAAATCATTGAACTTCTTGGAGTTTTAGTTTTCCCCTATTACAATGTAATTTCCAGAGAGCAAAAATTTTTATTCAATCAGGGAACCAAATAAACAACTAAAACAATTATCTGAAACCTAGTAGGTGCTCAATAAATAATTGCTAAAATAATGAACATGTAAAAGGAGGATAATACTTGTCACTTTTGGGGGCTAATTAAATAACTATTGTCTTGATTGAAGGTAATGTTTTCTCCAATGAACTGCATGGTTTATTAGCATTATTGCTACTCATGTAGGTTGTATGCAATTTTAAAAACAAGGTTTTTTTTTCTATCTACTAATCAGTATTTTAGAAATGATTTTTTTTCCAGTGAGTTAAAAGTTTCAATTATATTAGTATATTGTAAGAACAAGTTTCTTGTTGTAATTATAGTTTTTTGGGGTCTATAAATGTCAAAGTATGTACTTCCCTGTGTTATATCCTTTGCTTTAAAAATGATAAGGGATGCGAGGTGGCAAAAGTGATAACACTTTTAATCTGATTGTAGTTTTATTTGTTTTTTGATCATCTGTTTAAATGCAATATATTTTAGTACACTTTTTAAAAATATTTGTCTAGTTACACCATTCCAGAAGAAGGAGACATTTTGAAGTTTAACTCCAAATTTGAATCTGGAAATCTGCGCAAAGTAATCCAAATAAGAAAGTAAGTTACTTAAAATGATCTCATTCTTTATATGCACAAATATTTTCCTAATTTTCATCAGATGTGTTTACCTTCTATTTTCAGAAATGAATATGATCTGATTCTGAACTCAGATATAAACAGCAATCATTATCATCAGTGGTTTTACTTTGAAGTCAGTGGAATGCGGCCAGGTGTTGCTTATAGGTTTAACATCATTAACTGTGAAAAGTCCAACAGTCAGTTTAATTATGGTAAGACAGTTTTCTTTCTCAATTGAGAGAGCATGCAGGCATCCTATTTGTAGTACAGAAGTTAAACAACAACAACAGAAAATCACTGACTTTTAAAGACATTTTAATGTCTTGTTTTTTGGAATTCTCAGAAATTCAGGATCTGTTTCATGAAATTTGATATAGGTTCAGTTTTGATTTGTTGGTGAAAATTATGGAATGTAGGAAAGCCGTTTAAAATTTATGGATATGGTTGATTTTATCCAAATTGAATAAAGGCAAAGATTTATTGTGTGAGTACCAATGACTCCATAAGTTTGTGTGATTTTCTTTAGCCCATTAATTTGTTATGTTACTGTGATTGATTTTAAAATATAGAATCAGACTTTAAATCTGTGGAATAAGCCCTAGAGTTGGTGTGTAAAAGTGCTAATATTCTGTTAACAATATGTATTTATACTTGGGATGGATACTGATTTACGGTATTTCCCCTTGCCCTTCCCTTTCTCTTCCTCCTCTTCTTCCATCTCAATCTCCATCTCCATTTACTTTAAGTATTGTGATAATACTGACTTGGTAAAACTTGGGAAGCGTCCTTTCCTTGGAAGCATTTGTGTAGAATTGGTGTTAATTCTTAAATGTTTGGTAGAATTGCTTAGTGAAACTATCTGATTCTGAAGATTTCCATATATGATAGTCTTTTTAATTGGAAATTTAATATCTTTAATAATTTTAGGGCTATTCAAATTATCTTTTTCATTTTGAATAGGTTGTGGTAATTTGCTAGGAATTGATCTGTTTCTTCTGTGTTGTCAAATGAGTTGTAGTATTCTCATTGTCATTTTGATATCTTCAGGGTCTGTAGTGATAGCCCCTATTTTGCTCCCATTAATGATAATTTGTGCTTTCTTTTTTTGTTGTTGTTGTTGTCAATCTAGCTAGAGGTTTATTGATATTATTTACATTTTCCAAGAGCCAGTTTTTTGTTTCATTGGTTTTCTCTACTGCTTTCTCATTAGACCATTAAAAAACCCAAAACCAAACAAAAAACCAAACTCTAGTGCTGTACCAAGTATATAGACTCATTTAAGGTTTTTGTGTTTAGTACTGTAATAAGTACAAAACTAAGAGTTATTTGGCATCTAATCTTACATTATGTCTGGGAAGGTACTATAAATGTATAAACTTACATCAGCAATTTAAAATTGAAACATCAAGTTTTAAGTATTTATTCTGATAGTAGCAGTTTGTTAGATAAGATAAAAGATTTTTTATGGCATACAAAAATATTTACAATGAAGGAGAAACGTGTTATCTGTGATTAGTTAATAAAAGCCTAGAGGTCTTATTCATTATAAAGATTGAAAAGCTTTTGACAATGAGGTGTGAGATGCTGTATCATCTGGATCAAATAATTTAAGTTATTAAAAGTATGACTATGATGATGCTCTTTAAAGCTTTAGGAGGTTCCCAGTTGTGATTATTTATCTGGAAAACAGCAACTAATACCATAGTCTAGAATTCATATATATGAGATAAAAGCTTTAGACAGTCATTTATTTATTGCAATAATTATAGGAGGATTGGGTACAATAATACCTATTTTAGTTATAAATACTTTTCAAATATTTTTTAGTTACCTAGTTTTTAAATGAGTTTTTTAAGAATGTCTATTTTTAGTAAAGCAGGAATAGTAATATGAATATTGTTGGTGTTGTCGATTTCACATTTTTTATTTTTGTGATTTTATTATATAGCTACTAATCATTGCATGTAATGTTTCTTACAAACATTTGTTGACTTTAAGCCTTCATATAGTTTTAAATCTTAAGTGAGACTCACTCTAATATTGTCAAAATAAGAAATATAGTATTTTCCTTATTAAACTTATAAATATATGTAAACAATGTTTTTAGAGGAGAAAAGAATAATTAATTAAATGTAATTTTATTTGCATTAAGAGTAAAATATTAACACATGTATTCCTGATATGATAGTCAATATAACTTTCAAATAGTGTTGTAGGTGGGTGGCATTTTTACTAACTACTTTTATTTTTACCCTTTAAAAGTAATACTTTTGTAATATTTAAACTAATATACATTTTAAAATTTTAAGTTGAAAGTATATATTTGAAAATAAAAGTATACACTTGGAACAGTTCTTCTCCTTAAAAAAATGCCTATGCATACATTTGGTAGATAAAATAATCTCTTCCGTTAGTGTCATTTAAATTGTAAAATGAATTAAATTCTATAACTAAAACTAACTCAAAGCAGTAGGCCAGATGGCTGCTTTATTTTTAAATTTCCTCTCCTCCTTATCCTTTCTCCTTTGGATATTCTTGTATGTATATCACACTTGCCAAACTCACTTTGTAGAGAATTTGGAAAACAGAATGGTGTTAAGAAGAAAATTAAAACCACTGACAATGCATTGTCCAGAGATAATCAATTTAGCCTTTGTTGTTTTATTCCCGCCTTTTTATAATACTGTATATGATTTCTGTATAAATATAGTTATATATTTATTTTTAAAATGAAGCTGCCATTTCATATTCTATATTTTAATCCAATGTTATTTTGTATGTACTTTTTGTCATTGAATATTCCTCTGAGTTTTAATAGACATTCTGTAGAGATACTATACTTGAGCCTTTCTTTTTCATTGCACTTAAGTTATTTATGGTTAATTTCTATTGCTGAGATGACCATTGTACTTATAATGCTTGTATGTATAATTATTTAGTACAGATTCATAGAAGTGGAATTTCTTTATCTGTGTGCCAGCTATAGCATAGCCTTTTTAAAATTATAGGACAGTAATTCTTTAATTTGGTAAATTAAACAAGTTTTTGAGAAGAAACTCTAGGAAGGAAGGAGGGGAAAACATCCATAAAAACCACTGTTTAACATTTGTTATCTGTCCTTAAAAGTTTTGCATTCACATAACTTTAAAATTAAATTTTTCCCTTTTCTGGAGTTGGGATTGAGTGTGGAAACTCATTTGACTACTGCATATATATTTATTACCACACAATAATTTGTAAAGCAATGTAGTTATAAAAAAAGACTGCTTCATGCCATTAAATATTACTCAGCAACTTTATTAGTAATATCTGTAATATTGTGTTGAATAAGGAACAATAAATTGTTTAATTACAAGTTGATGAAGATTTAAATCTTATTTAACATTTCAAAATTATAAGCTATTTTGAAATAGGTATCCTTAATTATTTAATTTCATATATGTTTCTGATTATTGCTTTGCTTTGAATTCCTAGAAGTAAAATATCTCAAAAAAGAATGAATATATAGTATTGAATACTAGGGAAATTGGGTACTACAGTGCTAGTTGAAGTATTAAATTATTTCAGCCTTTTTGAAGTACATTTGATAGTATATTTTCAGTGTTAATATTTAACTTTATGTATCTGAATTTATTTGGGCATTTCCTGTGAATTGGGATTTAAACTTAATCCTGTTCTTAGTGGTAAAGTTGCTGAATGTTTTTTTTTTTTTTTGGTACCCATGATTGAACACTTAGCCACTGAGCCACATCTGCAGCCCTTTTAAAAATATTTTAATTTAGAGACAGGGTCTCACTGAGTTGCTTAGGTAGGGCCTTTGCTAAGTTGCTGAGGCTGGCTTTGAACTCAGGGTCCTCCTGCTTCAGTTTCCTGAGCTGCCGCGATTACGGGCATGCTCCACTGTCCCCAATTGAATGTATTCTTTCAGTAAAGAGTTTTAAAATTTTGGTGAGGAATTTATTGTTTTTCAGACATTTTACGTTTATAACTCATTTGCAACTGTGTGTCTGACCTGCTTGTAAGGAGGGTGAGAAATATCATCTAGAAGACATTTGTCATTACTCTCTTAATAAAAATAGATTAGATAATATATTACCATAATTTACTTATAGTTCCTCACTTTTTGAATTGAGTTGGGTTGTTCTGATCTCTTAGTCATATTATATGTCCCTGTTGGTTTGAAATATCAGAGTACTCATAAGGCATGGCCCTAACCATATATTAGCATTTGTTTAGAGATTGTTGCTGTAATTATCACTTTGTTTTTAAATTATTTTGACTTTATAATATAGTATAACATTCTGTAGTTTCTTAAGAAAATTTAAAACCCTTTTCTACCCTATTTTTTTCAGAACAGTGTATTATACACAATAATTTTATTAAGTACCAAAAATTCCCATTTGGTTAAATTTATAGAATTTGGGGGAGAGAGAATTTTTTATATTAAGTATTGCCATGTTCTTACATGGTATGTTGTTTTGTTTATTCGAGTTTTTTATGCCCTCATCTAAGTATTTTATGTTTTTAAAATAAGTTTCATACATTTTTACCTTTATTCTTAAGTATTTTAGTTCATTTCTGTTATGACTAAGTATTTCTATTTTAGATTTGTTATTACTTGTAATTAAGAAAGTTAATGACTTTTATATATTGAAAATCAAACTTTACTGAACTTTTTATTCTCATAGTTTCTCAGTTGATAACATGTATTTTATTGATAGGTATCTGGAATTTCTTGTATTCAGTATGTTATTTATCTTTCATTATTTCACTGTTTTCAGTTAGAACTTTGAGAATGTTTAAAATGAAAAGGAAACACTGCATATTCTTGTTTATTTTGACTTTAACAGTAATGGCACCCCTATTTACATTAAGCATGCTAGCACTTGTTTTGAGACATATATTCTTTCTAATAGAGACTTTCTGTCCTTACTAGATCTTAACAAGAGTTTTTTTTTTTTTTTTTTTTTAAGGTTTATCAATGTAGTTTAACTGTAATGCTATGTAGAGCCTGTTTGTGTGTTGTATATGTTGATAATATTTCTATTATTAAGCCATCTGCGGAGTTCTGGGATAAGTCCACCTGGCCATGTAAATCGATCTCTTGATAAATAACTATTCATGATTTGTTAGTATTTTGTTTAAAGGTTTTACATCATTGATCATAAGTTAGGCAAGTCACTTTCTTTTTGGAGGGCTGTCTTCGTCCAGT